TCATCAGGTTGCTGTATACAGTGGGCGCCTCGGCTGTGAGGCGGCCTGAGGGATTTGTCTCAGGCAACATTCGGTTTATGGAGTCCATACCCTCAGCTTAGAGAATGTGTACTTTATTTCTTTAGGCAATTCTTAATCAGACACATCTTTTTCTATCATTTCTGAATTGCTGTTGTTGTATTGTAATGCATTTTTTGCATTAGGACCATAACAATCTGATTTGAACATTAAACATCACATTGCTTTATGTCTACACTTGGCCTCAAAATAGCTTTTGTGCAGATCCTGTGCCTATTTAAATCTGTTCCCCCCATTATTTTCTCTCTGTCCTTTTTCTTCTCTTTGCTTTTCCTCTCGTTGTATCTGGACGGCATCCAGGCTGTGCTGATGACAATGTGAGCCTGGCTTCTGTCATTTCTGGGTTTTAGATCCCAATGTCACTGTAAGCAAAATCCCATTTTTGCACAACCAGACCTGTCAGTTGACATGGCAAGCGTGATTGCATGATTAAAGTTGCATTGGAACAAGTGTAACCGTAGGCGAGAACATATTGCTGCAATAGGGCTCTTTTTGTTCTCCAGTCATTCAGTATGTTTCCTTCTCCTCCAGCACTCATATGCCTTTTCAATCTTTTCTTTCCACCCCTCTTCTGCATCCTTTAAGTGTTTTGTAGGAAATTTGATTTACTCAGTACCGTTTGAATTCACTCACCATCTGCTGAATTTGGCTGTAATTCTGAATCAATTCTTAATGTTGGCAGCTTTGCATTGACTTGACTCCACATTTCTTTGAGCCTCCATTTAATCTTTTTATTTTTTTGTGGTCTCTGGCATGTTTTGATCTGTAAACAGTAAACAAAACACCAGTTCAATGACTCTCAATAAAAGACAGCTCACAGAGAAAACACCTCAACCAGTAATAATAAAGAAGAAGTGTGTTTCTGCATAAAAAATATGGACTGAGGAGGAGAGCAAAAGACAAGTGCAGTTACTGTATGTGTTTTTCAGTCAGTGGTACAACTAGCTGATTGATATTCATACAGACCTTCCTATACCATACCAAATAATTTAAACGTTGACTCTATTCCCAAAGAGATAATTAAAAATAAAACAAATAGGAAAAGTAGAAACAAAATATATCTTCAGTTGAATAATCAAAATAACTTCTTCTAATCAATGTCTCATAAAGAGGCACATGTGAGAGAAAATAATAATTTCAGGGAGAATAATAATTCCCACTAATCTTGAATCATATCGCAATTTTTTACCATATCATGCAGCCCTATTCATAATTGGAGGATCAGAGTTTACAGCCATGCTAGTCGCAATATGAGCCTCTACTTAGGCACAGCAGTGCTTGGAGCTAAACGCTAACCTATTCACAATGACAGTGCTAGCATGCTGATCGGGGATGTGCAGAGGATGCTAGAAATGAAGAAATAAATGCCTCGAGAGACTACTTTTGTGACACTGTTAAAGTGATATTTAAATGTAAAATAAACCCAGTGATGGAGGTTGGTTTCAAACACTGCCACATGACACTGACACATGAGTTAATTAAGGATGCATGTGAAAAAAAATATATATATTTCACTCAATTCTCCTCACATATTAACCATCCAAACTCTGACTGTCATCCTCAGTTGCAGAAGCTCAGCTCAATACTGCTGACAAAGATACACTTCCTCTAGTGGCTGCCTCTCTCTCGCCTCCATATTCGTCTCGTCGCTTACCACCTCCCATTAGAAGAATTGCTTTAGTAATAATGGGCAATAAGAAGATGCTGATATTGTATAAAGTAAAGATGCTCTTACTATGTGCCACCAAATTAGTTTAATATAATTCACATATTATATTATAATACTTGGAAGTCATTATGTACTTTGGCCACAATTATTGAAAGCAACACATAAAAAACATAAAATTATGCAGGTTTATTGTTATATTATATTAAGAAAATCACCAAAGTTCAATTCATCCTGATCGGGACGTGAATATCTGCAGCACATCTAATGGCAATCCATCCAGTGGTTGTGAAGACCTTTTTATATGTCCAAAACCTCATGGTGGTGCTAGACGAAAGGTCAGAGGAAGTCATTAGGATTCCTCTCCTGGGAACCATGAATGTCTTTACCGAATGTTGTGACAATCTATCCAATAGCTGTAGAGATATTTCAGTCTGGACTGAAGCGGACCGACTTTGCCATCCGTAGATCTATACAGTAGTATGGCTAGAAGTAGGGTTATTGCCACACACTACTATCCTTTTATAGGGACATGTATGTCGCTATTTGAATGAATTCAGGCTGAACTCTGTATCAACTCTGTCTCTTAGTATTTTGGTTTGATAAACCTTGGCCCTTCCTGCAGCTGGGGTCCTCAGTCAGCCTGCTTTGCTCCTCAGGGGGAGTACAGTGCAGTGATAGTGTCCATGGTGCAGTCAGATGAAAGTGGATGATGGCTGATGAATGCTATGCACTGGCACTGACTTATTACCCAGATATTAAAGTATAATAGCCTGGGAGATCCTTGTCCCCTGTCATTCATGTCCCAGCCATGGCCAGATATAAATATAAATGCTGTCCTGTGGACTTATCAAAAGAAACAGGGTCAGGGTCAGTGTCTGTCCGCACATTGGTAGGTTTTTTTTGTGATTGGGTGTGCCACAACTGGAAGGATGTGCTAAAGCATCCTTGGGCAAGATGCTTAACCCCTACCAGCTCCCAGCAGAGGGTTAATTATTCCCCCGAGGCATGAAACAAACGGCTGCTATAAGAAGAGAAAATGTTTTGAGATATTCTCCTCTGATGTATGTGGTGCACATTTTTAGGAAAGAAAGAAACAGAAGGTACTGTATAATTCCTGTTCCTCTGTGAGAAAATTGTTTTACTTTCACTTTTTGACCAACTGCACAAACTCAAACTCAGCGTTAAATGTGTTAGTTAGGTTATCTCCCATAAAAGACTTACAACACCATGTCTTTATATTTATTACATGGAAACAACTTCTTTCTTGAGAGATTACATACTTTGGACTTTCTTTCCCATGTATTATTGCAAAAATTGATAGATGAGAAATTGCAATCAAAAAGAAAGAGACACCCAAGAGGGAGGGGACAGACTGCTCGGCCTACAGACCAGACACCACAAGTGGGCAAGGATATTGGTGTTGAGTGAATCATTCATGTCAACAGGGAGACTCAGTTGCAGATTATCAGGGGTTCATGTCAACGGCTTAACCCAAATATAACCTTAATTAGAATATAGAGTTGCTCCGTGCATCATAAGGGAACATGTAAGTGTGTTAAAGGACATGCATTCACGCCAAACATGAGCCTTGAGCACACAGACATCCCCCCCCCCCCTTCCTCTACAGTAGCTCAGCCAAAATCATCTTCTCAGCATTCAGTCACTGTGATGGCAAGGATGTCTCTACTTATCTGGAGTAAACAAATTCAACTGCGGTTGGCAGTGGCATTTGGCCTGTGTGTGCTCTCCTTCCTGGCAGCATGTGTGTGTGGGGCTGCTGCCATCGGACGCAGCAACACGGAGCTGAGATCCCGAAGTCAGCCGATGCTCCTCTAAGATGTCTGACTCAAACAGCCCGCTGCCGCAGGGCGAAAGCCACATTTCATTACACAATGCTAATTAATTTCAGGAGGAAGTCATGCGTGTTCATAACTGATTGACTCATTGTCACACCCTAAATAGAAGTCCATGATTCGTGATGCTCTAAGTGCCAATTTCACGCTAGCTAGAGGGGTGGAAGTTAAGCTATTAACTTGTTTAAAGTGAAATGTCAGGTGCCAAGAAAGGGTCGACTTTAATAGGACAGCTGTTAATCAGTCACTCATTAGTGTTGTTGCATTGTATTACATCCTCAGGGACCTGTTTGTGATTTATGTTCTATTAATACCTCACTTTAAATCTGTTTGTCATCTGTAAGGTGAGCGTTGAAAGAGTCCACCCTGACAAAAGCAGAGCGGGATGAGCGCAGTTGGCAGGTCTCAGGTCCGCTTTGGCTCGAGACAATGAGCTTCACAGTAAAACGAGGCTTCCGCACAGGAGCAGCCTAATGCTCTTATGTCCCCCTTCATCTCGTTCCCTCTGTCCCTGCTTTACCTCGATTAACCCATTTGTCTTTTCGCCATGCAGCCTCCCTCTGAGGTCAATCTAGCCGAGCTCAGAGAGCCATTTTTCACGGTCAGTCATAAATCTTCTCTCTAATCAGCTCCTGTACACAACAGCTGGCAGGGACGTACCCCTGAGCACAAAAAAAAATCAATCTCATCAATAAATGAAGAAATTTTGCGTTTTTGTGCGCGCTCGTACAGTAATTGACCCTTGTGTTGAAGTAAATCTTTTGCTCTGCTTGTAAGCGTTTTGTTTTACGTCACTCCTCTTGTGAAAGCATACAAAATCCTGTATTGGATAAGAGCAAGATGGTACTGTATGTGTGCACTGGACTACAGCCGCACAAACACAAAAGATGGGGTTGCACATTTGTATTCTTGTCATAGCTACATTGAAATTAAGCAGCGTCATTTCGCCCTCATGAGAAACCTCTGATTTGTTAACACCAAACAGACATTAATTACTTCTTCTGTTTTACTTTTTCTGTGCTGAACTGAATGCTTTGTTAACCTTTTCCTTTGTTTTAAAGCTGCCCTCTGTATGTCGTGCCCCTCCAAAATAAGAGCTAGTGGTAAAAAATATGAAATCCTGTACGAGGAACACCAATAAAGGATGTGAAGAGCCACCTTTGTTCTCCTTCAAGTGCTGTTTAATAGGAGACCATAATCATTTAAATGTTACTATATCACCCTCTTATATCTATGCTAGTTATTCATAAAGTGTTGGATAGCCCTCGATGGTACAGTACAGTACATAGAAGTCTTTTAGATAAAAAGGTGTCATCTCTGAAAAGCAGGTTTAAATTTTAAACTGTGTAGTTATTTCTTTGTGTTTGGCAACCGCTATCTCTTCTCTGTTTGCTTCTCAGTGGCTGCCATGGACACTCAAAACAGAGCTATGTACATAAACACCATTCCCAGAGCAAAGCTCCACCTTCTGGACTGTGGGAAAGCACAAGGTAAAAAGTGGTACTTGAGTTGTACACAGATTCAGGGGGCATCTGGAGTTGAGCTAGAAGGTGTCTGAGCTGCACTTCTCTACACCACATTCCCCGCGCACTGTTTGATATTTGGCATCAGCTTGCAGCACGGGACAAAAGAAGTATTAATGTCACCACAGTGGAACAGGGGGCACCCAGAGTTGAACTGGGGACCTCTTGATCTGCAGTCAAATGCTCTACCACTGAGCTATACCCCCTTCCACCTTGTTCCCTAATTCTGATTGAGCAGATCTCACATTATAAATGGATGTTCACATACTAAAACATGCCTTATGAAGGGTTTCAGTTTTTTTTTTTTCATTTTTACAATTTAATAGTTAGTTATTATACTAACATGACTTGCTTTGTCTAGCTAACTGAAGGCTTATTAAAGGTAAAAACTGACTATTGATATTTACAACTGCAGACTCAAATCTAAGGAACCACCAGGCAATTAACAGATACATGTCTTAGATGTTCTTTTAAACTTTTTAATTTGAACTAATAGAAAATGTTACCGGACTACAAATGTATTCAATTAAAAGAGGGAGAGATAAAAGAATCACTCTTTGGTCATAACCTACAGCAGTTGTTTCCAACTTGGGGGGTCGTGACCTTCCATTACTGCATAATTTTACAACTTACAGTTAAAGCGGCAAAAATAGAAGGCAAGCCAGTCATTAATAAAGGGAAATACATATATAGATGTTAGTAAATTGTTAATAAAAGCTTCTTTCATTATAGTTATCCATTGAGTCTGGCATTGTAAGTCTTAGTAAGTTCCTAATAATGTATTTATTTTTTATTTTAACTTTTCTAGATAGTAAGTAACTGTTTAAAAGCTTGAACAGCTTAACGTTGCACCGATTTCTGGCTTATTAGAAGTCTATATAGCATTAATAAATGATTTATTAACCACTAATAAAGCAGTAGTCACGATTTAAACCTTGCATATGCCTGGCAACCTAATCTGTACCATTTGGAGGCTTTAAGTTAAAGCTGGGTTTAAAAGCTGAAACAACTAATTAATTAATAACTTGATCAGTGGACAAAATATTTATTGTTTTGAGCTTCTTAATTGTAAAGATTTGCTGCTTCTCTTTGTGTTATATGATTTTGCTCTGAATATCTTTGGCTTTCAGACTGTTGGTCAGACAAAACAAGCATTCTGAAGACATAACTTTGGGCATTTTTTTTTACTTTTAATAAGATTAACTGATAATGAAGATAATCATTAGTTGCAGTCCTGCAGTGTATTTAGTAATCAAGGTCAAATCTGAACGGCAATATCGTTCAAAACCAGCTTTTTTCTCCATGAGTTATGGTGGGGATGTAATAGGTGGTTACTGTCCCGCAGGCACCGTACTATAGGCCGCTATACGTGACCTCCAACTCAACACGGAATGAGCCATTATTCTCATCCAGTGGCAGGCGGTGTATGTGATGTGTAAAGAGAGACTGTCTTTCCTTATGGATGATGATGAGCAGGAGGAGGTGGAGGTTTTGGAGAGGGGGGATGGTCGACAGAGAACAGTAGCAAGAGCAGAATGAGGGAGGTTGGCGGAAGGGTGCGAGTGTGTTGGGATTCGTGGGGGCGGGTAAGCGAGGGCCCACAGGGAGGAAGGTGGGGGATGGTGAGGAACGAGGGGATACTACTGCTTCCCCCCACACATACACACACACACACACACACACACACACACACACACACACACACACACACACTTTCAGATATTATAATACCTCTACACTGCGAGCTGGCTAGTGAGCGAGCTCCATTTTCTGCCCTCAGTGCCAGACTATGAATGGGGGATATTGCATGAGAGCTTTGTCTCTGCTCAGCGCTCGGTGCCATGTGCTGAAACAGGGCGCTCCATTCACCCACACTCGGCGAGTTTGTCTCATTAGACTGTGGGCGCCATGCGTGTGGAGCCGCCTTTGTGTGTTTGTGTATACATGCATTCCTGTTTGTTTCTATAGAGTGTGAGAAGGGATCGCTCTGCTCGTAGGGGTTTGCCTTTGTAACATATGTGTGCATGAGGCTTAGGTCAACATCTGTATTTTAATTTTGTTTCTTCCCTGTGTCGCAGATAGAGGATAACAAAGGATAGAACCTAATATCAGGGAAGCAGGGAGGGGGTGGACTACTCTCTCCAAATTCAGTCAAGATTTTCCCGCCCTCAGGCCTGTTGTGAAATCGACACACGCTTTGATGGCCGCGTTCCCCTTCGGGATTGCCTCGTCCAAAAACAGCTCGCAAACCTTATTTTAGAGCCCGCTGCGAATCCTTGACCCGTAAGCGTGTTTTTTTTTTGTTGTTTTCACTTCATATACACATGTTGAATTGCAACATGCAGAGGGCGAATGAGTTTGTGTTTGAAACGCACCATCAGCGCTATCCTCCGAGTCATCTCTCATCACCATTCTACTCTTTGTATCTATCAGTCTTTCAGACAGCAGAATGGCCCCTACAGTGTAGACCGAGGCTGAAAGCTGCAGCTGCTGCACACACTGAGCGGAGGCAAGGGACAGCACTCCCCCTGCTCCTCTACGCACACACACACACACACACAGAAGAGAGAGAGAGAGAGAGAGAGAGAGAGAGAGAGAGAGAGAGCTGCTCCTCCCTGTTTGTCTGATGTTTTGCTTTGCTTTAATAGCAAGACTGATGCCATTTAAATCTTTCGCTTCAATTCACTCAATGCAAATCCAGCTGCATAAGTGGGTTACCAAAGTCCTTTACTGACACACAGGCGAGGGCAGTGAATGCAGCGTTGCCTATACGGCCAGTTCAACTTTATTTACTGATAAAGGAATCAAACATGAAAGATCTGCTACGTGAAGGTTGTTGAAATTTGCATCGTTTTGCATGCTGCTAAAAATCATTTAAGCTCCAAAGTAGCATTTCAAAATGATTGTGCAGCCATTTTCACTTCCAGAATTTCAATTAAGAGATTAATGTTTTATATCTCACACAACCTTGATATATGAGCATCGACTGGGCTTTGTGTTACTAATGATCATTATCAGCTATGCAGTGATTTCATTGTTATTTATTTGACAGCTGTTGTTGATATTTATTTTATTTGCAGATTAAGATTTTCCACACAAAGCATACAAATCATCTTATAAAATACGACACATTGTCAGAGATTAAATGACAGTATATAAAGAAGATTTATCACTATTGCTATACTCCAAGATCCTGTACTTTATGTTTGACCCGAGCTCAAGGTGATGAGCATCATTGCACATTAGTTGATCTGAGCTCTGACGATGACAGAATCTGATGAAACTATAAATAATGAAAGCACAGTTTAATTTGAAAAATGATTTACTCCTGAAAATATAAAAAAGAGTTAAAATGCTAATGCCTACTTTTGAACAACAACCATAAATATATTTATTTATAAATTAAACTTATACTCCACCAAGACATTACTACAACATTAAAATGCTGCATCAATAATAACGCTGCAATAATATAATAAACCATTTATACAATATGATATAATAATCTCATATAGGTCTATTGTTTGACTTTTTGATGGTAAAAATGTTCTACTTTAACTTAAAATTGTAAATGCAGAACGTTTTATATTATGTTAATAGCAAAAGATCTAAACAATTGCTGTGACTGATATCATGTGACATAATTTTTCATACATCATACATGTATAAATCATAAGTATCATAGGATATTAACCACTACAAAATGCTTTCTAGCTCTTTAATTCTCATATTTTGTCTCATATAAGATGAAAAATGCACACAAACATGCACGTACAAGCATCGTCAAAGGCCTACTAAATCCAACTTCTTCCATTCACATTCTCCCTTTCACAGCATAAACACATGATGATCATTTTGGAAACAGCTGTGGTATTTATACATATTTGGGATGTTATTTAAAGAAGCATTCCTCTCCTTCATCCGTCTTCCCTCTGCCCGGCTTTTCAGCTCCTGTGGTATTAAAGATACGCTGCGGTAAATGAAGTCATCCCTAATCCCGTATGTGCTGTATGGCCCCCCTGACGAAGACTCATCAAGGTGAAAGTGCTGTGTGATTTGTTGGATATTATTAGCATGGTAATAGGGTCTTAGAAGACATGGAATGAGAGGGAGCGGCACACGCTGTGCATCCAGGTGTGTGATATTTAGCAGCAGCAGTTGCCTCGGGAACAGATCTGTCAGACAAGTGAACCCACACTGTAATGAAAGACTGGCCACTTCCCTGGAGAATGTGAATAATATGAATAAGAATAACACACATGTACAGTAGTTTGCGAGCGCACACATTCATAGGTTTAAACACACATAAACACACACGCCCATTCCCTCTGCCCTCTAAACCTGTCACCAAAGGCAAAGGTGCTCTGCACATGCACCTACACATGTAGACACACACACACACATCCACACGTCGAATACGCTCCATCCCCGCCTGAAGACTCAACAAGAAACATCTAATTCTGAGTCACTCTAAGCCTGACTCACATGTATACACAGACACAACCACAGAGCAGTTTTCCCCCAGGAGCTCTAGCTTTTACCAATGCCCTTTAACTTGGTTACTGGGACATATTTTATCTGTAATTCATCATATATTATATACTCATACTAAGTCAATACATTGCACACACAAACAACTGCCTTCATTCACACACAGACCCTCAGACTCCTCCTCTGTCAGCCCTCCCTGCCTCAGCTCCTTCCTCCTTCCTTCTCTAATGAGTCTCTGAGAGTGCAGGTGAGCCTGACCCCAGGGAGGCGATAGCTTCCACGTGTGTGCACGTGTGTCTTGGCATTGCATTATTGTGGATGATAATGGACACATGCTCATGGAGATGCCCGAGCATCCGTTCACCTCCGGTTAACTCCTCTCCTCCCCGCTAATTAGAGATGAGAATCTTAAGGCTGATGAGTCAAAGTATGAAATGAAGTGCAGCTTAGTCCTGCTGCTGCTGCTGCTCCACATG